GCAGGACACACTACACCATCAGACATAGAGAGCTAACGAGAGATTGAGAGATTCCATTTTCAGAATTTTTAAAATATGAAAAAAAAAATTGCACCATCCATTAAAAGTAACTAAAAATGAATCAAAGACCCAAATGTAAGACTGAAAACTATAAAGTTCTTAGAAGAAAACACAGGAGAAAAGCTTCATGACATTGGATTTGATAATGATTTCTCAGATATTTCTTCAGATATATCAAAAGCACAGGCAACAACAACAAAAAAGTAGATAAATTAGACACATTCACATTAAAAACTCCTGTGCACCAAAGGACACAATCAACAGAGTAAAAAGGGAACCCACAGGAGAAAAAATATGTGAACTCATCTATGTGATAAGAGATTAATAATGAGACTGTATAAAGAACTTCTACAACTCAACAACCAAAAAACAAACAATCCAATTGAAAACTGGGCACAGGAGTCGAATTGACATTTCTCTAAAGACGACACACAAATGGTCAATATGCATATAAAGAGATGCTCAAGAATACTAGTCATTATGTAAATGCAAATCAAACCACAATAGGATACTACCTCACACTCCTTAGGATGGCTACTATCAAAAAAATCAGAAAATAACAAGTATTGGCAAGGATGTGGAGAAACTGGAACCTTGAGCACTGCTGGTGGGAGCTGAAATGATGCAGCTGCTGTGGAAAATAGTACGGTGGTTCCTCAAAAAATTAAAAAACAGAATTACTATATGATCCAGCAATCCCACATCAAAAGAACTGAAAGCAGGGTCTCCAACAGATATTTCTACACCCGTGTTCATATTCACAGAAGCAGTACTGCAGATGGTCAAAAGGTGGAAGTAATCCAAGTGCCCATCAACGGATGAGTAGATAAACAAAATGTGGTATATCCACACAATGGAATATATTCAGCCTTAGAAACGAAGTAAATTCTGACACATGCTACTACATGGATGAACCTTGAAGACATTATGTTAAGTGAAATAAGCCAGTCACAGAAGGACAAATACTGTATGATTCCAGTTGTATTAGGCACCTAGAGCGGTCAAATGCATAGAGACAGAAAGTAGAATGGTGGTTGCCAGGGGTCGTGGGGAGGGGAAATGAGTTACCGCTTAAACGGGTACATAGTTTCAGTTTTGCAAGATGAAGAGTTCTGTGGATAGACGGTGGCGGTGGAAGCACAACAATGAGAAAGTACTTAATACTAACAGCACTGAATGGTCCACTGAAGGCATGGTTAAGATAGGAAACTTGATGGTATGTGTATTTTACCACAACTAAAAGTAAACTGCACCTTGCAATGTTTAAGGGAGGACAAGGATCATGCTTCTAGAAGTAGGGCCTCCTGCAGATAATTTTGTGCTCATTGGGAACAACAGGAAAGGGTAGGCTGGAGGCCTGAACCAATAACACTGAGAAGAGAGACAATAACTTTTGGTTTCCTAGACACCACAGGCCCCTAATGCAGCCTAAGACTGAATGAGATTTATAGGGAAAGTCCAGCAGACGGTTGGTTCATGTTAAGTTTATTATGTCTAAAAATCTGGGATTTTTTCATATGAACTGCTACCAAGCATGTACTCCTTCTATACTCGTGCTATTGATTTTAAGATTAATTTACAATAAATTCCACTTCAGCTTTGATGTAGCTTGTCAAGACAGTTTTGAATCTCAAATAAGCACCTCTGGTATGTTATCTGACAGCTGAACGGCACCTGCAAATCTGATAAGCATACTTCTAATTCCTCTACCACAAGGAATTCATTGGCTGTGCTACGCTCAAGTGCAGATAAGATACCGGTAGGCTTAGTCAGTCACCATATATTATCCTTACTCTGAGAGCTCTCTGGAATACGGCATACAATGGTAAAAAAAATCCTTTCCTGATATACAGCAGGATAGGAAATAAGCATGAAAATGCAACCCTGTTATTCTTCTTATGGGCTTTAATGTTATTTATTTACAAAGACTTAGATTTTAGGGAATTAACTCCTTGTCCTGGAGGCTAGACCTGTCCTTAAAATGAAAACATCAAGCCATGTGGTGTCTTAATTAGTAACAAGAAGAGGCAAGCCCTTTGTGAAACTCAAAGCATTTACACGTCTCTTGCCTTCTGGCACTCTTTCCATTCTCCATGGAATCACGAAATTATTTTAAATTCTGTAGAAATTGTGTCTGCAAACCCTTTAGTCCATTGGACATGTCTTCTGAGTCTGAACCTTGAATTAATTCAAAGCAGTTTATTGCTTTCTTCCTATCTCATCTAGTTTAAAGTATATATTTGGACTTAATATTGTTTTCTTGAAACTATCTTGTTCAAAACTGGTTCTTCTTACTGAAGAATTTAGTAATAAAATAGGAATTGTCCTTTTTTGGGAAAACACACCACCCTCCAAACAGTGGCTCTAGCCCTTCTTTGCTCTTCTGATGTTTGTGTAAACAGATGATAATATTTTAAAAACCGACCTTAGTATGTGCGGTGAATTTCACTTTCTGTTGTAAGCGTGACTCTGCCAGGCTCGCGAGGCTCTCTTGCAGTCCTCCTTCCCTGTGTGCGGCCCACTCACAGCTTGTGTTCAGATCTCTTAAGAATTAAAGCTCCCTACAGTCCTTTCCTGGTGATGCCTCCTGCTTTTCTCTCCTGAGCAATTTCTAGTCTCCCTATTCTTCAACTGCCATCTCTACGCCAATTATTCCCGCACATCTGCAACATCTATTTGATTCTGAATTTCCGACTTGAACTACTAACGGCCACATAAACAACAATGATACTCATCAATATATCAAAAAAAGAACTGTGTCTGACCTCCTCACACTCGGCCCTCTTCCGAGTCCTCTCATGGAGCCTCCATCTGTGACTGCTCCCTACTCCGTTCTCCTGTCACCTAACTAGCCTCAAGTCCTTCCAATCACGTCTCCAGCAGATCTTCAAGTCTGCTCCTCCCAGCCGCCCACCGCCACCACCTTGTTCTGGTGCTCCCTTCAGTGGCACAAAGGGCTGAGCAAGGCCACAAGTTCAAAGGCGGAATCCAGGGAAGCTGTCTGCCAAAGGCAAATGAGAACACGGGTTGGGGCAGAGTTGTATGAGAGCCAGCGGCCACACGGACTAGACCCAACTCCAAGAGGAACTGTGATGGCAAAGCCCAGTATAAACAACGCCCAGAAAAATCACTACAGTCACAAAAGGTGATCTAGAAAATGAGCTGGGATTAAAAGGTGTCCATGGGCAAGAGGAGTGCAGAGACTGGTGGCAAATTCTAGAAACAAGAAACTTCCAGTGTCTCTTTGTCTCTCCCTCCCTTCCTCTACCTGTTCTTGCCATTGTCTCAGCTTCTCCATGCCTCGGTATGGGCTCTTCTTTCTGGCTTTAGCGCCACCCTAGTTCTCCTGAATTTAAAGCCACGAGCCCTGGAATGTTGCCTCATTTATTCTTGGCTGTTTCCGGAATGCTGAGAACAGCGCCTCAGCACTGTATAAAATATAATATAAACTCAGTAACTATTTCCTAACTGCAGGACCTACATATGTTCTTAGTGAGTCCTCAATAAAAATATTTTAATGAGATAGATGAAGGCTCCTGAGAGCTGACTGGCAAACTGCAAGCCATATTTTTTTCAAGACCTAGTTCCTCCAGCACTTCCTGTATGAAAGCCTCGCCCAACACCCGGGCACAGCCAGCGGTCTCTCCTTTATGGTCCCACAGAGCACTGTGCTGTGGTTCTGCTCCAACGTGCCTCACGTTCTGCTGCCGCTGAGGGTGGGCAGGGGAGCGGTTACAAAAGAAGGAATTTCATCAGGTCTTCCTAATCATTCCCAAACCCAAAATGTGGAGCCATGGATGGATAACGTTATTATTTGATGGGTTATGTGCTTCTATGTTATTGGGCTGAGTCTACATAATTCCCAGAGCAATTCTTTGAGGGTTAATAGACAGGTAGCTAGTTGGACCTCAAATATGTCTATTTTGTCATCTTAATAACTGAATTAAATTATGACGAAGACTAACTCAGATGAGCTATCCAGAAACTCATCCATTATTCTACAGTTGGCAGTAATAGATAAAATCAAGCAAAAAAAAAGACCAAATCACAGTATGTATCTGGAGACATAATCAGAAAAAGAGTCACAAATCAAGGTGGTTTTGGCCCTTCTTTTTTTCATTCTATTCATTGCTTCATTTTAGTGCTTTTTATGTACTAGGCATAATTCTAAGTGCTGAGGATTCAAAAGTGAATATGGTTTTACATCTGCACTCAGTAGATGCAGCCTAAGGGGGAAAACACTACCTAGTGTAGTATTATATCATCAAAGTTCTGAGAGAAGGGGAGAGTATGTTTTCCAAAGTACATGTGGACCGCAAACTGCATGATGCTGACAGCCAGCTCACAGCTAACTCACTGTCAGGTGTCTCTCACTTTAACACGACTTTACAGAATTTATAAGTCTTTAAAATTATAACACATTCTTTAAACCTGAGCCCCAAATTAGGAATTTTCAGACTTAGCATGATACAGACGCTAAGCATATTGGGAAAACATGGCAATATAGTTCAGTTTTATGAAAGAACATATAAATTCAGACCAAGAGAGCAAATATTCAGAAGCATAAAGGAAAGAAGAAAGAGCTAAGGATTTCTGAAGTGAGGCAGGCATGAAGACCTGTGCTACTGGAAGCTCATCTCTTCATGTGGGAAAGAGGAACAGAGTGCTTTCCTCAGGGATGGCTGTGAGGACTAAACGGCATATTACTTGGTATATAACGAAAGGCAGCTATTTGTCAACACATGACTATATGCTATGACTATGATGCTACAGACGGGTAAACAAAGAAAGGGAATCAGAAAAAAAAACAGTAGAAGGATTCTGGCTCTGAAAGAGGGTGACAGAGTTCTGAAGAAGGACTAAGTTCTACACCATCCAGCAGGTCACAAAAGCCAACCCCACCACTCAAAGGACGGTACTACACTATGAGCTTTCCCTACCTGGCCGGTTTGATAATGCCTGGCAAACTGGTTAACCACTCGATAATCATTTGCAAAGTACTCCATCAGAATAGAAGGAACCTCAGCAAAGTCAGTGGGGCACCTGGTCCCTGAAATGAAGGAAAAAGAAAAAAGCTGGCATCGACATATTTATCTTACTTTTTATGTACTCTTTTAAAACTTTTATTTGTACTTCTAATGAACTATGATAAGTTCTAATTCATTAAATCAATATTTTACTTCTATAAAATTATTGCACATGTTTTCAGAACAGTTTATTATAATCCTATATATTTTCCTATATAGCAAAAGAAAAACAAACTATTTGCACAGCTGGATAAAAGCCCTTGTAGAGCGACAGCTCACACCCTGCAAACAGACTGCCCTCAGCTGTGTGGGGCCATGCACGGACCACACACTGAAACATTCTTATCAGTAATATGGCACTCGTGTTTAACTCACTGAATTCTACCACCAAACGTGCTTATCCTTCATTTGTTTGAAAAGTACTTTATTTTATCCACTGATTGCTTCTGGTAACAAAGTCAATCCTCAATGCAGAAAAGCAATATTTTAAACTCAAAATTATTTAAAGCAACAAATCCTGTAAGAACTCTTTGGTGACATTTTATGATTCTGTCCCACTCACCTACAGTCTTCTCAAACATCTCCTCCTCCCCCAAAATACTGTGCATATAAAGTTAGTTAACAAATACTAAATGCCAATTTACTGGGTGGTCTAAAGCTGACCATATACAATAGTGAGCTTAAGACGTAGACGTGACAACTAAGAGGAAAGTCTACAATAGTATCAAATATGGCCACAGCTCAGCATGAAAAACTATAATTTTATACCGGGGAAAGTATAAGAAAAATAAAAAGTAGCTTATTTTTTCAACATGCCTTAGTAGGTTTTCTAACTGATTTTGGATAAAAAGAGACAACATTTATTTACTTACTCACTCACTAACGCTGTGCTAGGTATCTAGGAGATGCATATTTATTCACCCACACATATGGCCACAAACTTAAATCCCATATAAAACATGATAAAATGTAAAATGGTACAAACTCAAAAGACAGACAACTGAGACTTATTTCTCAGTGAGAACTGTTAGCAAGAAAGGAAAAAGATGTAAAGAGGATCAGGTTGCAAAACAATGGCAGGACAAGATAAGCAATCTGCAATAAATGACCACAGGACATTATTAAATGATCAAATTTTCTAAATAAAAAGCTTTCTTTGGGGCCAGCCCAGTGGTGTAGTGGTTAAGGTCACGTGCTCTGCTTTGGTGGCCTGGGGTTTGTAGGTTTGGATCCCAAGAGCAGACCTACACACCGCTCATCAAGCCATGCTGTGGTGGTGACCCACATACAAAGTAGAGGAAGATTGGCAGAGATGTTAGCTCAGCGACAATCTTCCTCACCAAAAAAAAAAGAAGAAAAAGAAAAAGGCTTTTTTCTAATTTAAAACGAAATATATGTTTTTAAAGGACTGTATTAGATAAAAGTCTCCTCTGCGTGGCTTACCAGTGACGTGTTGATAACGGGTACGTCCCAGCATAGAATGCATGGCATGTCCCATTTCATGGAAAAGATTTTCCATCATTCCAGGAGTTAATAAAGTTGGTAAATTCCTTGAGGAATGAGGAAGATTGAGCATAAGAACTACAACTGGGAGTTGATAGTCTCCATCTTCCTTTAATCTGCCTCCACGGATTGTAAAGTGGCAATCCTTTAAGAATCAGAAAACACAATATGAGAAGAAAGTATTACGTAATCTAAAAGATAAAATAACCTTAGTGAATATAAAATTATACCTAAATGTGTGAGTTCAAATTTCCATTCTTCTTCTATTTAGTTATAGACACATTTTCCAATACTTTATTGTGCTAAAATTTTACTTTTTTTAAAACACCGAGAATACATTGAGCTGGATGAACTCGCTCATTCATTTCAAAAATATGTATTGAGCTGATGCTATAACAGATGCTGGAAACACATCATCAAAAAGCTTAGACCCACGCCCTCAAGATGTTCACAAGCAAGCGGGAAGGGGTAGACATCGAGCTACTGGAGGGAAGGACACTCATATTTACTGAACTGCTTCTACGTGTCAGGCAAACAACTAGGAGACACTTTCCACACCTATTACCTTCACCTCTTGGAAGTGATGAACTCTAGACCATCATAAAGCAAGGAATCTGGAGTAACCTCTGTAACAGGCTGAGATTCACACAGATATTATTACTAATTCTTCACAATAACCCTATGAGGCAGGTATCTTATTTTTCACATGAGAAAATTGAAACTGAGTCTTGGAAATATTAAGTCATGTGTCTGAGGACACACAACTTGGATTGCTGCACCTCGGATCTGAACCCGGGCTGAGCACTAGGAGCCAGGGCTCCCAATCACAAACCTGGACTCTCCACCAGCCATTCAAGCAAAGACGAAGAACACAGAACTTGGAGTCCAACGCCCTAGACTCTGGCACCACCTTCAACACCTACTGGCCAAACCCTCCTGGAAGCTGGTTTGCCTCTATGAGCCTCATCTCCACCTTGTCAAATCCCAGATCAGTTGCACAGATTTTTTAAGCTCACATCTATTAAGATGCTTTGGAAATTGTGAATGACTTTTCAAATAGGAGGTACCATTATTTCTGTTATAACTTAAAACCTGAACCCTTGGCATTTCCCATCAAATTACCCGAAACTGCTGAAGCTGACTGACTGGCAAACCTGGTACACAGCTAAAGGAAAAGACCCTCATGTATTCCACACGAGGAGCAAACTGGTGGTTGATGAGGCTTCCATATGGACCTACCTTCTGTAATGCTAAACTAGGCCCACCGCCAAGTATGGAAAGTAGCTATGAGCTGGGGCTCTAGTCAGAATGTTTGGCTTCATATCCTAGCACTTCTGGCTGTGCGATCTGGGTAAGTAACTTAACCTCCCTGGCCTCAGTTTCCTCATAATGTTAGTGCCTACTCAAAAGGCTGAGGTGAACATTCAAAGATGTGATGTATACAGAGGGCTGGCCCGTAAGAGGGGCTCCTAAAATGTCAGCTACCATCATTATTATCAGGACCAGATGAAAGTGACAGATACAGATTGATGTAACTATTTTCATAACCTTTGTTATCTTTAAATTCCATCCTAACTTCAAATTTGCATACTTAGTAACTATCATTAATGCCTTTTAAATATAAGGGAACTGCAAAAATGACATAGAAAGTTCACATTAATACAAATTGACTGCTATCACTTCTAGAGAGACAAGTTTGTAAATAAAGCTTCACCTGATGTGGTTTGTCTGCTCGCTGAAAAAAATCACAGTAAATGTACCCCAGCAATCCTTCAGATTCATGAACGACAGCCTAGAAAAAAAATTTAAATTTAGTGGTGAATGAGGCTATCAGAAACTCCAAAAGTGAAAAAAATCCCTAACACAAGAATTTGTATATAAAACATCCTCAGCTACAAATATAAACATTTTATTACTTCTTACATTCCATATTATCTCAAGATAGACTCCACTTTTTCCTCAACCTGCTTTGCTCCATCTCTCAGATGATTTTAAACTGGAAACTCCGTCCAGGAGAGGAGACCCTCCCCGTCCCGGCCCTTCATCTGACTGCCAGTCTCAGCAACGCCTCTCCCAAACACGGCTCTTCAGACCGCCGCAAACCACCCAAAAGAATCGGGAATAAGTGCTGGCTTGACAACTTTAGCAACAAACTGGTTTCTCCTTCAAATCTTAGAATGTAATGATATATGCCCATACAAATTATAACCCTCAAATACAGAAACAACAAAAGGGAGCTTCTGGCTCCAGCTGAAGAGCAGCAATATCATTGTTCATTCCCGTTTCCCCGTCGGGCCTGTAGAAGAGGCACGGCTTACAGGAGAGAGCTCAACCACTAGTCTCCCTCTTGCCCTCTTTGTCTTTTCACAACTTGAGGATTCTGCCAAAGAGAACCTCAATTTTATGCTTCAAAACTTCTTGCAAGCATATATTCATTAATTGAACAAACATCTACTAAGAACCTACTCGGTGCTAACAACTGTTCAAGGCATCTGGGATACAGCAGTGAACAACACTGGCAAACAGTGCTGCCCGATGGGCTCGCCTCCTGCGGTGGGGGAGACCTCAAAATCACTCGCATTTTGTCCTTTCACTCTTCTGCTACCAGTTTTGCTTTTCACTGTATCTACACATTTTATCAATCTCTATCATTTTTTAAAGTACATAATATACAAATAGATACTTCGGTAATTAAGCGCAGTGATGAAATGTGCTCCCATTCAATTCTTTCAATTTCACCACGACACCTATTCTATTCTCACAAAACTTAGGCAAGGGACAATGAGCTAGCTTTCATTTCTTGAAATACAGTGAAAAGAATCGTGTGGTAAGCCTATAAGCAAAAAAGCAAAACAACAACAACACAAAGGCTTTGCGATAAACACATGGGTCAGTAAGTCCTCAAACTCTTATCAGGAAAACACAAAAATATTCACATCTCAAATAAAGTGGGCCCTAACAGGAGAAGGACGTAACTAGGCTTGAACTTACCATCAAAGAAGCCAAATCAGAACACAGGATCTAAATTAAAATCTGACGCAAATATAAGCTCCTACAGGACAGGAAAGGGATTGAAGGAAAGGAAAACTGACTAATGCAATGGGTTCTGGAATTAACCAACAGGGACACTGAGCACTGCAGAAATATGAAAAGTAGAGACAAATTTTCCTTCAACTAGAATTTGTCAACATACGAAGACTCAACTTTCTACCAAGTTCCTTGAAAAATTGTTTTCGGAGAACCAACTCTGCCGTTATACGTTTACATCAATTTCAGGCAACAACTGATCTTAGAGGAAAATGTGTCTTTTATACAGTGTCCTAAATCTGAAGCAGTGATTTGGCTTCTCTGTGAGACAGGAACGAGGTGAGAGACGCTCCATCAGGGCCAAGCTAACCTCAGACGAGACTGTTGTGAACTCAACCAGCAAACCCAAGAGAGAAAGCGATGCAACTAGACGCCAACAGGGATGCTTACCAGTTTCCGAACATCTTCACACCACACCTCTCCTTTTGCAGGCTGCTCTGCATATAACGAAATCCCTAACAGTTTGTTAAACAAAATATTCAGGCCTTCCATGCATGCTCCAAGGGAGAAAAATGGGCAATATAAACTGGGCTCAATATTATACCTAAGAGAGAGAAAAGATGTTCACAGCATTTTTGTTTACTTCAATTACATAAGGTAAATTCAGTTAACTTTTCATTTAAAATTTGGGCCACAGTAGCTAAAAAAGGACTGAAAACATAAAGATTTATCTCTACCTTCTGAAGGATTTTCAGACTCAGTCTTCCTCAGAAGTACAGCAGTCTATTACTGGTAGTAAGAGTAATACTAGTAATTAAAGTAGACATACTAGTCCCCAATCTTCATCTCTCCCAGGTTACTTACTCTTTCACTGACTCAATTAAGCACCCTGCCTCAATTACCCACACGGCACACATTCCTTTACGCCTACTTCTATGCAAAGTCTGACCATTTCGAGCTATAACAGTACACCTCACTTCACGAAATGTGTTATATTCTAAAAAGCTGTGACTCGTATCACATAAATATTAAACAAATCCAAGTCCTGAGGCACACTAAGTGAATCTAAAGTTCACACCCAGTAAATTATGTTAATGGAAAAATCTCTGTAATATAAACAATTGGATCTTATCTGTTTTGTAGTTATATATCTTAAACGAAGGATAACAGACTGCTAAGTTAATTGTTCTTCATGCAGAAACAACTCTTTCATGTCCTATTCCAACAGAGACCAAAGTACATCCAGAATATGTGATGGGAACGTTCACTTTTGAGTTTTTAAGTCAGGCCAAACTTTATAACCACAGCTAGAAAGAACGGCTGTAGAATAACAGTAGATATTTAATCTATTTCCACTTTCTGGGATTAACAAATATATACAAACTTATATATACAATATATACAAACTTATGCTTATTACTAAATGAGTGATAGGATTTTGTGAGTGAGCATAAATTGCACCACAAATGAGATTTTGGCTACAGAAATCTACAAGTTTACAACCTAAATTTCTGATCAATTTTTCATAAAAACAGAACCTCACTATTGAAAGAGACATTAGTGGTCCGGCGCCCTCACTCATGGATTCATTCACTTATGCAGGCTGTCGACTAACCTGCTGGATTTGGAGGTAAGGAATGAGAAGAGAGTCGGTGTCTGAGGAGCTCAGAGTGAAGAAGGCAGAGAAGGGAACTGACCACACGGTGTCTGCCGAGCCTAGAGCAGTGGGCACAGAGTAGCTGCTCAAGAGACACTGAGGGACGAGTGAACGCACACTCATGGTGGGACAGCAAGAGAGTGCGAGACAACTTTACATGCAGAGTGGGGTGGGAACAGGAGGTGGTCACAGAAAAGAAAAGAAAAAGGAGGCTACGGGGCAGGGCGAGGATGAGGGATGAGAGAAGGGAGGAATAATCAGGGAATTCCAGGGAGAGGCAACAGCATAAGGACAGTATGAAGTCATGAAACAGCCTGGTAACTTCTAGTAACCACGTGGTTAAATATGAGAGTTCACGGTGGAGGGGATAAACAGGAAAGAGTGGGAGAGGAGTCTGGACACAAGTGGGCAGGGTCCGGAGAAGTGGGGGCCTGGTACACAAACCTCAGGAATTGGGATTTTATACTGTAGGCACGTGGTCTCTCAACTTTTTGATCATACACCCCCATCAATAAAATAACTTGTGAGTATTCAACCTTAATATATTTATAAATTATATGCATGTGCTATTGTTCTACTACATTTCAAAACCAAAAGAAGGGACACTTTTATAAGTTGAGATAAGGAAAAATCAACCTAAACAGAATTTCTAATATTTTATGTCCATACCCTCAATGGACTGCTCACAGATTGAGAGACATGGGAGACAGCTTCTGTAGGCAACAGAGCAATGTGATGCTTTCTGTAACACCATGGGGTTGGCAGCATGGAGGATGGAACGCAGGAGAGGCAGGGAGCACAGACAGTAAACTAATAAGGGTCTGAATGAGGGCAAGAGCAGTGTGGTCAAGGACAAGGAGGCAGATTTGAATTTCTTTTTCTCTGAGATGAAAAAGTTTTGGGACTGTGTGAGTGACTAGATTTGGAGGGTGAGTGAGAAAGAATGGTCTAGAATAATACACAGGGTTCTGGCTTCAGCAAATGGGTTGATACAATGGCAGAGTCATTTAATCAGAGCAATGAACACAAAAAAAGGAAGAGAGTGTGGGTGTGTTGTGGGAGAAGAAAGGAGGGTGTGGTGCATTACAGGAGAAAGACTGAGGGACCACAGAAAATAAATTCTGTCTTGGAGACACTGACTTGGAGGTGCCCATAAGATGTGACACTCAGGATGTTATGATGGAGGAGACTCCATCGTCTGGGTATGTGTAAAAGCTGGAGAAGGAGATGGGGTCACTGGGGGAGGGGGAGGCAGGGTGAAAAGTGGGTCAAGAGCAGATCCCTGAAGTTCCCGTTGAAGGAGCGGAAAGGCAGACAGAGAAGAAAAGTTACAGCACTAGAGAAGCCAAAGAAAGGGAGATATCGTGGAAAGGGGGAGAAAATGCATTGAAAAACAGGAAATAATTGATGCTTCCGGTTTCTGGTCTGGCATGTAAGGAGCCTAGAAGGTACTGATCCATCCTAATAACAAGTAAAAAGCTGAACAAACTGAAAATCAACAAGTCTTCTTAGATCCAGCAAAGAATTGAGATCACAGAGCAAACTGCTGCTCCCCAAATTGGAAAGACAGGCAGGCAGATACAGAGAATCACAATTCACAGGATTCTACAGTGGAAAGTAGTGGCAAGGCAGCAAAATTTAAACTACAATTGACAAACTGCTGGAAGCTTAGTGTGGACAAGTCTGAGAGTTAAAAACTCCAGGGAGGCCCAGTTTACGGGGGGAGTCCCCACACTCTTATGAGTTTTACCTGCAGAAGCCTTACCATGGTCTCACAGTGAAGATAGAGAAAAACTGTCGCATGCTTCCACAGGGGAAGGGAAAAGTTGCCATTATGAAAGACACATATGCTAGAGCATTCTGTTATTCTTAATAAGGCCTGCCCTCAAAAGACACTATCTTACCAGAGCCTAACCTACCTGGAGGAAGAGAAATACCAACTGGAGCCCCCTTAGCCTCCTGTCTCATCAAAGCAGGGAAGGGAAACCTGAAAAGCATTGTGAAAGCCACAGCCCATGGGCACATGCTCATTAACAGGCTGCAAACTAATAATAGGACTTCTCCCTGCACACACCGCCACCACATCAACAGGGCTCCTGCATAATAAAGGGAGAATACAACTGCGAGAACTGTACGTCTCAGACCTTATTTTAGTGGAAGTCTCCAGAGAAACTCAAAGACAACAGGAGAGCTAAAAAAGGACACCAGAGGTAAGTTTAGCCTCCAAATCAACAGCTACTGCAAAAAGTACACACAGCCTAAACCCTAGCCAGACACAGAACCTCACACTAAAGCCCTATTTATCTCAGTTCCTTTTACCCAGTACATCACGCCAAACACTCAACAGAAAGTCATGCTAAAAGACAAAAAACATAGTTTGAAGAGACAGAACAAGCATCAGAACCAGATTCAGATATGTCAGAAATTTTGGAATTATCAGATTGGGAATTTAAAACAACTATGATTAATAACGCTAAGGGCTCTAAAAGAATAAGTAGAAAACACACAAGAATACATGGGTAACGTAAGCAGAGAGATGGAAACTCTCAAAAAGAATCAAAAGGAAATCCTAGAAATCAGAAGCATTTAACAGAAATGAAGAATGCCTTTGATGGGCTCATCCATACAGTGGATACAGCCAAGGAAAGACTCAGTCAGCTTGAAGAAATGTCAATAGAAACTTCCAAAACTGAAATGCAAAGAGTAAAAAGAATCAAAAAGACAGAAGAGAATACCCAAAGAAGTATGGGACAATTACAATTACAAAAGGCGTAATGTACACATAACAAGAATACCAAAGGAGAAGAGAGAAAGAAGGGAACGTAAGAAATATTTGAAATAATAATGGCTGAGAACTTTCCAGATTAAAGACAAGTACTAAATCACAGATCAGAGAACACCAAGAAGGAAAAATACAACAGAAAAAAATATACACACACACACACACACACACACACACACACACTAAGGCATGTCATTTTTAAATACAACAGAAAAAAATACACACACACACACACACACACACACACACACAAGGCATATCATTTTTAAACTGCAGAAAATCCAAGACAAAGAAAAACTCTTCAAAGAAGCCCGAAGAAAAAATATGACCTTACCTATAGCAGAGAAGGATGAGAATTACATCAGACTTTTCTTCAGAAACCACACAGGCAAGAAGAATGTGGGGTGAAATACGTAAAGGTTGAAATGAAAAACCACAAACTTAGAATTCTGTATCCAACAAAATGATCCTTCAAAAGTGGAGAAATAAAGACTTTCTCAGACAAAAAGTGAGGAAATTTCTCATTAGTAGACCTGACTTGCAAGAAATGTTAAAAGAAGTTCTTTAGCAAGAAAGTAAATGAGATAGGCCAGAAACTTGATCTACATAAAGAAAGGAAGAGTGTTACAGAGAGAAATAAAGATATAAAAAATCTTTTTTTTCTTATTCTTAAATGACCCAACAGATAAGTTTGTTCAAAATAATAATAGCAACAATGTATTCAGTGATTACAGTTCATGGATAAGCAAAATGCATGACAGCAATGGTATAAGGGATTGAAAAGAAGAATTGGGAAAACTCTGTTATAAGGCACTTGCACTCCCCATGAAGCAGCATAGTATTATGTGAAAGTGGACTTAGATTACTTGTAAATGTATACTGTAAACTTTAGGGCAACTACTTAAAAAGATTAAAAAAGAGAGGAGAAAAACTGGAATCATACGAAATAATTAAAACCATAAAAGGCAGAAAAAGAGTGGAAGACAAAAAAAATACAAAGAAAAAAGAAACTAAGAATAAGGGCAATGATTAGAAAACAGCAACATATATGATAGATATTAATTCACTTCTATCAGTAATCACTTGAAACATCAATGGTCTAAATACAACAATTGAAAGACAGAGAATGTCACAGTGGATTAAACAAATAAGATCCAACTATATG